CTGGGAACATGCCAAGTTATTATACACCAATGATACTCAACGTCTCTATGATGTCTGTTCTAAATTTGTAGATGTTATTGTCTCTAAACATCAAGATTCTATGACTGATTATATGGGAAAAATTCATGCTCTTTTTCAAGAGTTCAATGAGTTATTGCCTCCTTCCCCCGACCCTGCCACCGAGATAGGACAACGATCAAAGTTCTTCATGCTAGGGGCATTACACGGACTTGCTGATCAATATTCACATATTCGTGATCAGATTTTGGGTTCTCCGGTTGTCCCCACCTTGACATCGACCTACTCCACTGTTTTGCGTATACCAGCAAAACCCAACCCTGACACACCTGCTTCTGTTAATGATTCTTCTGCATTGGTATCTCACCGTGATGATCGAACTCGCCCTCACAAACAGGGAAAAGTGTGTCCTAAGTGTGAACATTGTGACAAACTAGGTCACAAGATTGACCAGTGTTATGCATTACATGAGTGTGAACATTGTGGCAAACTAGGTCACAAGATTGACAAGTGTTATGCATTACATGGTCATCCTACTCGATCTACTGCAGTTGCTCAGACTCATCTTTCCCCACCTTTATTTGCTAAGGATCCTCCTTCTTCTATTTCATCAGACACACCTGCTATGTTCAACAAATTTCTCAAATGGTATAAGGATCAACAGTCTTCTAGTTCCACTGTGTCTGTCGCACACACAGGTAAGTCTTTTGCTGGTCTGACCCAATCTTCTTCTGGTCCTTGGGTTTTTGATTCAGGAGTCATTGATCATATTACTGGTAACAAATGTTTGTTCTCCTCTTTATCCTCTCCTGATCCTTTACCTTTTGTTACACTAGCTGATGGCTCTAGAGTATCATCTCATGGTGTTGGAACTGTTAAACTTTTCCCTTCTTTAACCATTGATAATGTTCTTTATGTCCCTGGGTCTCCTTTTAACCTGTTATCCATCAGTCGTCTAACTCATTCTCTTGATTGTGTTGTTTCTTTTACCAATAATTTTGTGTGTTTACAGGACCGGAGTTCGAAATAGGTGATTGACACAGGATGTGAGTCTCATGGTCTTTATCATCTTCGTCCCTTTACACATGTTGGTGCAGTTATAGAGTCTCCCTCTCTTCTCCATGCTCAGTTAGGTCATCCAAGTCTTGCCAAGTTACAGCAACTTGTCCCTGCCTTATCTAAATTGTCTAGTTTGGCATGTGAGTCGTGTCAATTAGGCAAGCATAGTCGTACTTCCTTTCCTCGTAGTGTCACACGTGGTGCTTCGTCCCCTTTTGTCGTGGTTCACTCTGACATTTGGGGACCTAGCCGCGTTAAGTCTACTTTAGGTTTTCAATACTTTGTTACTTTCATTGATGATTATTCCAGATGCACTTGGTTATTTTTGATGAAAAATTGTTCTGAATTATTTCATATCTTTCAAACTTTTTTCAATGAAATTCAAACTCAGTTCGGTGTTTCTATTAGAGTTTTGCGCAGTGATAATGGTCGTGAATATCTTTCTCATTCTTTTAAACAATTCATGGCTTCTCATGGTATTTTGCATCAAACTTCTTGTGCTTATACACCTCAACAAAATGGTGTAGCTGAATGTAAAAATAGACATCTTATTGAAACAACTCGCACTCTTTTAATTCATGGAGAGGTTCCTCAACATTTTTGGGGTGATGCTCTTCTTACTGCATGTTATCTTGTTAATCGCATGTCATCTTCGGTTCTAGATAATAAAATACCTCATTCCATTTTATTCCCTCATGAACCACTTCATCCCTTACCTCTAAAAGTTTTCGGGTCTACATGTTTTGTTCATAATTTTAGTTCTAGTCTTCACAAGCTTTCTCCTAGATCACATAAATATGTTTTCTTAGGGTTTACAAGACACAAAAAGGATACAAATGTTTTTCTCCTTCTCTTAACCGTTATTTTGTGTCTGCAGATGTCACCTTTGATGAATTCTCTTTTTATTTTAAAAGTCAATTTTCACCTCTGTCTCCATCCAATCTTGTCAACATTCCTAGTACATTTAATGTTCCTGTTGTTTGTGACCCTCTAACTGTGTCTTCTTCACCATTAGATTCTACTCCGCAGTCAGCTTCTTCTTCACTGCCTCTTCAGGTTTATAGTTGCCAAAACCAATCACAACCACCACCATGTGACTCTACTCAAGTGCCAACTACTCTATCTCCTCCGGATGTGACACCTGAGTCTGACCTTCCCATTGCCCTCCGAAAAGGTATCCGTTCTACACGTAATCTCTCTCCTCATTATATTGGTTTGAGTTATCATCGACTTTCATTACCTTTTTATACATGTCTTTCCTCTCTTTCTTCTGTGACCATTCCAAAAACTGTCCGTGAAGCTTTAGCCCATCTTGGTTGGCGTCAGGCCATGTTAGATGAATTAAGTGCTCTTCATAATAGTGGAACTTGGGAATTGGTCTCATTACCGTCTGAGAAATCTGTTGTTGGTTGCATGTGGGTGTTTGTTATCAAAGTTGGACCTGATGGTACTATTGATCGCCTCAAAGCTCATCTTGTGGCCAAAGGTTATACTCAAATTTTTTGGTTGGATTATGGAGATACCTTTTCCCCTGTGGCAAAGATGACTTCTGTCCGTTTATTTAACGCCATGGCCGCTCTTCAACAATGGTCTCTTTATCAACTAGATGTTAAAAATGCTTTTCTCAATGGTGATTTGCAAGAAGAAATCTATATGGAGCAACCTCCTGGGTTTGTTGCTCAGGGGGAGTCTTCTGGGATGGTATGTCGTCTTCGCAAATCCCTATATGGCCTAAAACAGTCTCATAGGGCCTGGTTTGGAAAGTTTAGCAAGGTTGTTCAACAAGTTGGTATGACTCGGTGTGAAGCAGATCACTCTGTCTTTTATCGACACTCAAGTGCTGGATGTGTTTACTTGATAGTATATGTTGATGACATCGTTCTTACAAGTAGTGACAACCATGACATCTCTCAGTTGAAACAACATCTCTGTCACCATTTTCAGACCAAAGATCTTGGCAAACTTAGATATTTCTTAGGTATTGAGGTGGCACAGTCCAATGATGGTATTGTTATATCTCAGAGGAAGTATGCCATGGATATTTTAGAGGAAACTGGGTTGATGAATTCAAAGTTTGTTGATACGCCCATGGATCCCAATACTAAACTTTTACCAAATCAGGGGGAGCTTATACCTGATCCTGAGCAGTATAGAAGATTGGTTGGAAAATTGAATTATCTTACAGTTACTCGTCCTGACATTTCCTTTGCAGTCAGTGTGGTAAGCCAATTTCTTAATTCCCCATGTGAAGATCATTGGAATGTAGTCATTCGTATCTTAAAGTATATTAAAGGATCTCCTAGAAAAGGATTGTTATATGATTCTAATAACCATACAAGAGTTGTTTGCTACTCAAATGTTGATTGGGCAGGATCTCCTTCGGATAGAAGATCTACATCTGGATATTGTGTCTCCATTGGTGGTAACTTGGTCTCATGGAAAAGTAAGAAACAAAGTGTTGTGGCAAGATCTAGTGCAGAAGCAGAATATAGAGCTATGGCCTCAGCTGCTTGTGAACTTGTTTAGCTCAAGCAATTGCTTAGAGAGTTACAATTTGGAGATGTCACTCAAATGTCACTTGTGTGTGACAATCAGACTGCTCTTCATATTAGTTCTAATTCTGTCTTTCATGAGAGGACCAAACACATTGAGATTGATTGTCATTTCATTCGAGAAAAGATTATGTCTGGAGACATCAAGACTGAGTTTGTTAACTCAAGTGATCAGTTAGCAGATATTTTTACTAAATCTTTACGGGGTCCTATAATTGATTATATTTGTAACAAGCTTGACACATACGATTTGTATGCTCCAGCTTGAGGGGAGTATTAGATATTGTGTAGATATTATTTAATATTGTTAAGATATTGTTATATATTAACCATAATATCAAACAATATCTTCTGTTTATTCTATTACTTTCAGTTACTCTTTTAGTTGTATCTCTCTACTATAAATAGACTACCCTATGTGTAATTTATACACAAGGGAGATTAATCCCAAACTCTATTTCTTCTATATTCAACAATAATATATTCAATTTTTTTTTATTTAATATGAAATTTCAACTTGTATTTGGATTCTTATTCTTAATAAATTTATGATGATTTTGAAAGACTAAAAAATGTCTTTAATTATTTTTGTAATATTGAACGATGAATTAATATATTCGGGAAGCACGGAAAGTGCAAATTGATCCAATTAAGTTAATATTGGCACACATGCACGACCAACTCATGACAAAATTGTTCCAAGTTTCTTTGGATTGTTTACGCACATAGTAAGGGATGGATGGTCTGGAGTTTCAATTCAATAAATCATGTTAAACGTATGGGTGTATCAAAAATTAAGAATATTAAATCAATTCATAACAAAATTAAAATATTATGTTTTCTATATATATATATATATATATATATATATATATATATATATATATATATAATATGATGTTGTGGCATAAATTTAATATCAGTAGCCAAAAATAATATACATCAACCTTTGTTTGCCCTTATAATTATTTGTTATCTATATGAATGATATATGAATTGGTTTGTTTTTTTCATCACATAATTTGAAATATATGACCGATATGTACTCTTGGATTTTGTTGGTGTATCTACTTTAGAGAGGAAGAGGTTCAAAAGTTTTTCTGGTCCTGGCCGGGTCAAATTACTAATTTAGGGAGATCTTATTTGTGAGGTTTAGTAGGAAGCAAAATTGTTAGTGTGCACGTGTAGAAAGGGAGTCCCTAGGTGTGTGTTTGGGGTATTGCGTTGTGCAAAAACCCCGGAAACAATTGCATGAGCACGGTTCATTGTGTGTTAATTTTCTGCCTCTTATTCTCCGCGGATATAACAAATATATAAGCAGGGTTGTTCCAAGGTTGAGACAAATTGTGATCCACGATATCATAGCTAGAAATGGCTCAACTCGAACGCCCTCAGAGACAGGTTGAAACTGCAAAAACTCCCTCTACCATCCACACCATGGAACAACTCCTCCGAGGTAATCCTTTCCTATCATGTCTTTAGCCAAACCCTAGTAATTAATAATTCATTTTATGCATTCATCAATATCAGAATGTCATATATGGTACGTTTTAAAATCGTACCATATGATTTCTGATTGAGTAAGGTGTGAAAATGTTTAATGACATTATTAGAAGAAGTGAAGTGTTTTCTTTATTGTGCTTTGATTTGAATGTGAGACATAGAAAAATCAGATTCTGATTTTGGAGTTTAGCAGGGGAGTCTTCCAAGTCCAGTAAGCAGTCACCAGCCTTCCCCACTTCCTCCTCCGCCAACTCCTCCTCCACCAACTCCGCTTTCTTCCAAAGGCTGAGGTCCCATGACTCCGAAGACGACCATGGCCAGAATCAGAAGAAATCAGTTCTTACGAAAGTGAAGGAGAAGGCCAAGAAACTACGCCACAGCCTCAGCAAGAAAAAACATGAGGATGGGAACCTCAGTAGTCCCTCATCGGCTACTGGCGCAGAAGGTGATGGAGTAGAAGAAGATGCTGAATTTCTTGGAGCTCCTAGTAATAAACATCATCATACAACACCTCATTCATTATTTTTCAGAAACGTTTGTGTTTTCTTCCTAATCCTTAACATCTAAAATTGTTGTCTCGTTATTAACATCTCAGTGTACGAATCAGAGAAGGCACCTATAGGGTACAAAGCAAATGCAAAACAGCTTCTAAGTCCAAGAGTAAATCATATAATCCCTGAGAAGCATGTTATATCAAGCAATGACAAACACGTAGTGGAACAAAATAAAGAAAAGTCACTGACCCGTTCCTTATCAGCACTACCTACAACAAAAACAAGAACCACCACCACTCCATATACTACCTCTGCTACTAGTATGAATATTAACACTAATACTAATACTATTACTCCTACTCCATGTCCAATCAAGACAACCACTGAAACGGTAGCACCGAAACTGTCCCCAATTAAAGCTGAAAAACCAAATGCAGCCCATGTAAGCTCCAAATTTCAAGGTCTTAATGTGTCCAAACCCTCAGAGCTTCATGATTACCCTTCATCACCATCACCATCAACAACAACAACAACAGCAACAGTTGCACCAAAAACAACTCGCAGCACTTCTTTCTCCTATGCTGCTACTCGTACTCCCTCTCCAAGAGTAATTTCCCAATTTCCTACAATCACTCCGCGAACTACATCAGCTCCAGTGAGTCCAGCACCATCACCCGCTACTCCACAGAGTGAGAAGATCACAAGCCCCACAACGCAAATATGGGATAAGGGTGTGTCAATGAAAGAGTACTTGTTGAACAAATTGGAGCCAGGGGAAGATGAGAAGGCGCTGTCTCAGGTGATATCTGAAGCAATGAGTCCTAGGAGAACTCCTGGTGATGCAGGTGTGATGGAGAAGGTGAGAGAAGCTGTTACTTCTCTGCTCCGAACTGAGGACCCTGCAAAATATGCAGATGCAACTGCCACTAGTAATACTCCTCGTATGTCACCTAAAAGCCCAGTATCTACCAACGCTTCTCGTGCCTCATCTCAAATGCCTTCACCTTCCAATGCTTCTCGTGCTGCGTCTCAAATGCCATCATCCTCCAATGCTTCTCGTCCTTCGTCTCAAATGCCATCACCCTCCAACGCTTCTCGTGCTTCGTCTCAAATGCCATCATCTTACAATGCCTCTCGTGCTTCGTCTCAAATGCCATCATCTTCCAATGCTTCTCGTGCTTCGTCTCAGATGCCATCATCCTCCAATGCATCTCGTGCTTCGTCTCAGATGCCATCATCTTCCAATGCTTCTCGTGCTTCGACTCAGATGCTAGCATCTTCCAATGCTTCTCGTGCTTCGTCTCAAGATCCAGCATCTACCAGCATTTCTCGCACTTCTTCTCAAATCCCTGTATCTTACAACGCCCAGGAAGGTAACATACCAATACCAGTTCACTAGTTATTTATCTCCTCTTCATGCTATTTTGTAACATGATGTGTCTATCTGATTGCATTTGGTCTCTGTTGCTAATCTCACTGTCCAAAAATGCAGACTACACGGTGGCTCAGGAGGAAAACCATGGCCGAATTCTTCAGGCAAATTGAAAGCCTCCATAACGTGTTCCCACACATTTTTGCGTTCAACGTTTTTATGTATGTATGTACCCGACAATCGTGCGTAATTTCCGTATATTTGTAAATTTTAATTTGTATTTTATGTAATAATTATATTGTATATTTGTATTAAATTACATATTACACAAGCAGTTTCATTTTCGCATTGTTAAGTTATGACCATGAATAAGAAAAGTATCCACTTTTTCATACTCACTTCACCAGTAATAGTAGTTATGGAGGATTTCTTTAATTACTAGATTTGTATACTTGATTAGTTGTCTTGTGAATCTAACGAGGACTCGAGTGAGTTGGAAAAGGTGTCAGATAAGTGTAGGGGATTTCAAAATCTACGTTTTAATTTCATTTCTAGGTGCCCTTATTCAATCACAATAAGGTAAACGTATATTCAAATACAATGGGTTAAAATTTCCCTTCCCCTTCCTTGCATTTTTTCACCCTAAATGACTATTTAGTTTTTTTTTTTTTTTTTTTTTTTATTTTTTGGGCAGATTTTGATTTCACTTGAATAACCATTATTTATACGGCTAACAATATCAAAAACATCTTTGTTTGATTTTAATTTTACGTATCAAGCAACATGAAGCCTTGTCCTAATTATATGAAAATAGAAACTATAACTACTTCAAGCTTGAGCCAGCCATGCATACGAAAATGGAAAATTAAAGGTTAAATGCACGTATAAGAATTTTCCACAGTATAATTTCTAGCATGAAAAGGATATCCACCAAGTAATAAAGTAGGCGATAAGAAATAAAAAGTAATCCAGCCCGTGCGGAATGAGCACGAAATTGTTATGCAAATGTTAGCCATAGAAAATAACGTTCCGGTTCAATTTGTTAGAGCAAGTTACCCACCAAAACTTTAGCTGCATTACACAAGCAAATCAAGAAACAAAGCCAAACGAGATTTATCTTTCAATATGATTTCCCAATTAATTGGTCAAACTTGACCTCCAAAATTAGATTAAATACAAGTTCGTCATCGAAAGATTAGGCAATATATCAATTTTGTCAGTCAACGCACCAACTACGCGAATGGCATGCTATTGTCAATTTTGAGAATAAAAATTAGTGATAAACACGCTAGCAAAGAGCACTAAGAGGGATGCCAACAGAAACCATAAGAAACAACAGATTTAGCACTGTGGTAATACATGTCTTGAAAAGATGGTGCCGAGTTATAGGTCTTCTTCCTTTTACATGGCAACCCCGGTGGAAATTGAATAATGAATACTAGAACCATGATTTGAGTATCTTGATTAGAGATTAAAAATCCCATCGTCTACTGTAAAGCTATCGAGGCTATCAAATTCCACAATACACAAGGTGACAGACTCACCAAAATATGCAGCATTCACATAAAAATATCCTAGATTGGCTGTCATTTCAAGATTTTGGATTCTATATCTTCTAAACTCAAGCCTTTTGTCTCCGGGACAGAAAAGACAACGAACAGAAGTGATAGAATAGCAATAGTCCCAAAAAGGAGAAAAAGATTTTCTGCTCCTAGAAGCTCCTGCAGCAGAAATCAGTGCGGATTATAAACTACAAGAGCAGTCATACTAAAATGATAAATTTGTCCTGAATAAAAGAATCTAAAACCTTTAATGGAGAGAATGCAAAGGTGACTACAGCATTTGAAGCAAAGTTCGTAAGAACAGCCAGACTAATTCCCTTTCCTCTAGTGCGAAGTGGGAAGACCTCGGATACCATCAACCAACTTATCGGCCCAAATGATATCTGCAATGCAAATGCAATTTGACAAAAATATACCACAGTATTTTGATCAACATCTCATAAATAGCAGCATTAAATCATAATTTTTATTTGTAGCCAGGAGCATTTTGTGGAAGCAGAGGTCTATGAATTACTTCATGTCAACCTATGTTCATTCTAGTATCCAAATTGTATGACTAAAATTAGTTAAATACTACTGTAGAAGAAGTCCATCTCCAGGTTAAGCAGCAGACGGATGACCAAAGTAGGCCAGAAGACATTTACCTGGTAGCAACCGACATAAAGAAGTAAAGCTCCAACAGCAACAAGTGGGAACTCTCCAAGAAATTTATAATAAACAGAAAGGAGACCTAAAGAGAGAGCCTGCAGAAATTAAAGAAAACCAAATAACCATTTGCATACAACAAGTTGCAGTATATGAAGATTGTTTAATATGAGATGGAATTCCTACAATGCCACTGACACCTCCAATCAGCAAAGGCCTTCTCCCCAAATCATCAACTTTTAGGACAGCAATCCAAGTCATTAGTAACTACATGCTCATCAGTCACAAAAAGTTATCATCAGTTTCACAAAGTGATCCCTTTTCTTCGAAAGGACAAATCTAAATAGGTATACCTTGAATAAGCCAATAACAACTGAAACTTTTGTAGCATCAGATGCAGCAGAAAATCCAGCACTCTAGATATTGATGACAGAATATAATATGAAGTGAGCAAGATGGTAAAAAAACAGATTTCAGTCACAACAAAGTAGAAATGACTATAAGGATTAAGTACCTGAAGAATTGGGCCTGCATAATACAGCACACTTGGTTGACCTGTTATCTATTGTAATAAGGTGACTAATCAGACAAAAATAAAAAAAGTTTGTCCACATTTCCTTCTGTAAGAAGAGACTCATTGCACCAAAGTTGACCTACCTGTTGAAATAAGACTAGTCCTCCACCAATTATGAAAGCTTTCAGATTGGGACCCTGAAAGACCTCTAAGAAATTCCCCTCTGACTCCTGATCTCCATAGGTAGACTTCAATAAGAGAAGGGTATCTTCTATTTGCCTCTCAGATTCTTTGTCACCAGGTGGTCGACCCCTTAATTTGCTCAGGGAAACAATGGCCTTTTCCTTCAAGTCTTGAAAAGAACCTTTTCCTTGAACTGCTCTGAGAAGCAACCAACGTGGAGAAGGGGGGAGACTCCACATTCCAAGCCCCATTAATACAGCAACTGGAGCACTAAATCCATACATGAACCGCCATCCCCCAACTGTATCTATCAGAAAGCTTCCCACAAAATAACCCAACTGCATAAAATAAAAGGTCAGTTCCCTCCCACCTCAGTAATTTATTTACTTGATAAAAGACACGAAAAAGACAATGCAATACCAGAATCCCCAGGACAATAAAGAGTTCTTTTAATGATATTAGTGTACCACGGATTTGTGATGGACAAGTCTCTGCAATGTATAAAGGAGCCCCATGCATGGCCTGTAATTCAATTCACTTTTAAGATGGTGCAAGAATCATCCATATTGCAAAAACTATAATTGGTCAAAGTATCCTACCAAACCTATACCGAGTCCATAAAGCAGCCTCCCTGCTAAGAGAACTTCAAGTTCTGGTGCATAGGCAGTAACCACACCACCAAATATATACAACAGTGCTGCAGCAATGAGTTGTCGCTTCCTGCCTAGGGTTTTAGCAGACTTAATAGATTCAATAAGAGATTGTTAAAGAATATTCAGTTGTGTGATAATATAATGAATAATATCTCTTACCAAGGAAATCAGCTATGGCATACGCAAGAAGTGAGCCAAGAAGAGCCCCATATAGGGAACCACTAACCTATGTTTCATGGTAGGAATTAGGTTCTAATGAACTGATGACAATAACTTTTCCATGAAATTGCAATAAGTTTTCCAATTATAATGCTGATATCATACCACTAGTCCAAGCTGAATGGCAGAAAGATTGAACCATGTTATTCCGCTAAGGTCAGGTGACTGTGGTTTCAAATCAACAAAATGAAAAATCAATGATTACATTACTGCCTTAAGAGATAAAGTTGATCTTGTTTGAATAAAATTTTCTATAAATACTTATATAGAAAAAGAAATTAAAAAGTAAAATGAATTGTGATTTTGGTAAAAGCTAAAATCAACTTAAAACTTTTCGATTAACTTTTCCGCGAGCTAAGGTCAAAATAATTTGATTTTAATATGTGAAGAAGTTCAGTGTATTTTTCTTACTTACCTTCTTCTACTACTAATGATTATAGCAAAGTTTATTCAAATAGTACTATGCTGTAATTTAAAAAACTGAATAACAGAATTACCTGCAGTGAGATTGTAGCACCGGAGGTGGCACCAATGTCATAACCAAACAATAAGCCACCCAATGCAGGGAACAGAAACCTAAATTTTGAAATAAAATACAGATTAATCGGAACAGGAAATCAGCTTATTATACGTTTTAAAAATAGCAACTTTTGATCATTAAACTAGGATTAATATATAGGTTGCTTTTCTCTCCGCACATTCATATGGCCACAAATTTTCCCTTTTCCCTTCAAAACGTCACTCCTCTCCTTAGTAGGAACAGTGACAAAAAACGTACGGAAGAATTACAGAAGACCAAAGAAATTCCTCTTGGTATGTTGCGTCAGAAACAAGCGACCCAGAACTTTCCCCATCAGAATACTCTTTCTGTACACCAACCTGTCCATTTAAATATTTAGCCAAATTAGACTAAAAGCATCAAACTTTGATGAAACTTTTGGGGTAGTCCTCACGTGGAATCTGCGCTTAGAAGCAGAATGAGACTGGAGAAGCGGATATGTGACACGTGTGAGCGCCAAATGATCGTTAATGGAAGAAACACGGCCTGGATTGACGCGAGAAGAGGAGAATAGAGATTTTGGCCTCTTTTCCCGAGGATGATGCAGTGGGTTGAACAGAGAGAGTCTGTAGTTGAAGAGAGTAGTTGATGCCATGCGAGGCAGCGAGAACAAAGGGTATGGTATGAAAATGGAGTATTGTGAAGTGATGTATAGAGTACGATCAAATTTCCCAAGATATTTGTCAAATAAT